CCGGTGATAAGACTAGAGGGAATGGTTTCAAGCTGCGCCAGGGAAGATTCAGGCTGGATATTAGGAAATACTATTTCTCTGAAAGGGTGGTCAGGCACTGGAATGGGCTGCCCAGGGAGGTGGTGGAGTCACTGACCCTGGAGGTGTTCAAGGGACGTTTGGATGTTGTGTTGAGGGATATGGTTTAGCGAGAACCATTGGTGATAGGTGGATGGTTGGACTGGATGATCTTGTATGATGGTCTTTACCAACATTAGTGATTCTGTGATTCCGTGATTCCTTCCTTCCTTCCCCAGAAGATGTACTGAAGTGCACACATATTGCATTCTGGTGATTTAAGTTCTTCACTCTCCAGATATGAAATAGTAGAAAGAAAAGGAGTGATTACCAAATAAAATTCCTTGCAGAGCCCCACAGCTCCACTTGCTAAAATCATGCTTAAAAACAGCTACAACAAAGGACTCTTGCTCACAATCCACTTCAAATTAGGTTTTGGTCAGTAATTGTATTTCCTTTCCCAGCCATCACTCTCCTGACCACGTCTGCCCTGCAGTGAAGATGGCAGAAGCAATGTCCCATGAGCAGCCATATCCAGTGGCAGGGAGCCAGAGCCCTACCTCTGCCCTGACAGGCTCCCAAAATGGGAGAGTCAGCTGGGAGTCATGGGCTTAGCTGACAGGAGGCTGAGCTTGGCAGTGGCCACTAACCTGCGCATCCACCATGAGGTCTTGCACAAGAGAACAGGGTGATACAGCTAACATTTGTCATTTGTCAGATTGTGGCAACTAAAGGACTGAGATTAAAGGACTCTAATGTTGTAAATGTCCATTGTAAAAAAAAAAAAAACAAAAACAAAAAAACAGAAGAAGAAGATCATATCTGCCCAACACAAATATCCAGTCTTGATGGAAGAGACATTCAGTATGTTTTATATTCTTCCTCCATAATAAGGAGAAAGGAAAAGCACAAGGTCACCAACCATGACGAATTTAATAGCTCAGGTGCTCTGTTAGCAGGACAAGCATTGTCAAAACCAGAGAAGAGGATATCTGTCCGATGAGGAGTCAAGATGGAGGCTTGACTGCATGTCAAACAGCAGTTTTTGTAGTGCAGACATGGCCTTATGTGGAATTTCATTCCTCACCTGCCTGTAGCATTTTGCAATGACATGCGAATTTCCTTTGTCAAAAATGCTCTTGTTGTTGCCTTGTCTCATTCATTAGTGCTTCACTTAGGATGATAACACATAAATCCCGTCACAAAGAACCGAATGTGCTCTGCTCTCCCCAGCTGCTGGAGGAGATGGGCTTTATCTTCCAAGCCCAGCTCATTCACCAGCACATCCCTGGTAAGCCCTTATTACTGCCTGTCATTCACATTGTAGAAACCAGTGCCACAGCCCCAGTGCCAAGCCTCAGCCCTCCAGCCTTCATGACTGCTTGGGCCAAAGTTATGAGCAGTGATTCTGACAAAGAAAGACAAGTTTGCATTGCTGCTGCTGCCTGGGTATGTGGTGTGTTAGTACCTCACTGGCTGCAAGAACCCACCAGGAAACCAAATAACGGCTCTGTTTATTTTCTGGGGAGAGAAAGAATCTCAGTACTGGGGATGTTCAGGAGTTGCTGCAATCTTGGTGCTGCATCCATAGAGCAGGCAGTGCTGTGGCAAGAGTGGCAGCCTTCCTCCTCCTTTCTTCCAAGCTAGGTGTCAGACCTGCACTAGCAGAAGCTGTCCAAGGGCAAACTCTGTCTCATCATCCTTTCCACCCATGACTGTTTTGCTATGATGGCCAACACCTGTAACATTTGGAAAGATGATCTTTTGTGTTATGGTTGCCAGTTCATGAGGAAAAGGCACTGAGCAGTCATGAGGTTTAACAGCAGCCAGTTTTCGTCAGTAACCCTCCTGGTGAGAAGCCAGATTAACTACAAGTGGGAACTTCCTCGATTGGCTGAACACAAACAACACATAGGATTCATATAATGTTTGTAAGAATTACTCTAGGTGGTATAAAATGACAGTTTAATGTCTGCAATGAATAGTGTGAGAGAGGCTGATAAATCTGTGCCCACAGTGCTGTACAAAGCATCCTGCAGAAGCACAAGGGGTGAATGGCTGAGAGCCACACTATGCATCCTTTGATGTTGTGTGTGATGGTCACTGTTATCATGGCATTTGCACTTTCCCCAGTGCAGGGGCAGGATAGGAGCAGCCTTTTTTAAAAAAAAAAAAAACAAATCACATGATCGTGATAAGCTTTGTTCTCTGTTACTTGTTCCATTTTGTTGTTCATTTGTTATGGGGCAGAGTACCCCCAGCAAGATGGAGTGCCAATAGGTTGGGGCACTGTACAAATGTAATGGGTACAAAACATTCCTTGTACTGAAGAGCTTGTAATCAAAATAGCCAAGACAAAGCGTGAAAGCACAGGGAGCGTTTGAAAACTGAAGTTATTTTCTTCCCTTTTGTACTTTCCAAATGCAGTTTCAGTCTGGCCGCACAGATTTTCCCACCCACCTCTCTTAACAATCTTGTATTTCAAGAGAACTGAAATTATCATGTTCTTGCTAGAAAAGAGAGGCCTTTCATGTCATTTTCTAACTCTCTGAAACAAGCCGTAGAGCTGGGTTTTGAGCACAGCAGCTCTGAGGGATCCTTTTTCTCCACAATGTACTAGTCATGTTGATGTGTCACACAAGGACAGCCGTGTTCTTGGCAGACAGCTTCATGTTCCAGGATAACCTAAGTGACATGGTAAAGAACAGAAGTTTTACCCTGATCAAACTACATGATTTTTGAGTAAGGGATTCTGGGAAAGAGACCCATTCCTCCTGCTCTGTGCTTTGAAGTAGTGCAGGGCATCTCTGAAAGCAACACCAGAGCTGGGGCACTTGCAACACTTTTGCAAAAGTCCACAGCAATAACTGCAGACTAACTGGGTGCTGGGCTGGGCTAAGAAGGCAGCCTTCGTAACAGCAGAGTATCTATCACAGCAACTCTCTGGTACAGACTGGTGCCCTGTGGCATTATCATAATGTGAGAATTTATGAGTGGTACTCACGGGGCCATTTGGCAGCCATATATATCATCAGGAGAGGAACCCAGACTTCTAGTATTCCCTGTGCTTTACAATGGAGATTATCTGCAAGTGGCAAGTAGCAAACACATAGGAAGAGAAATGACCATCCAAAGAGATGTGCACAAGAACTTCTTTACAGTGAGGGTGACGGAGCACTGGAACAGGCTGCCCAGGGAGGTCGTGGAGTCTCCTTCTCTGGAGATATTCAAGACCTGCCTGGATGCCTACCTGTGCGACCTGGTGTAGGGAGCCTGCTTTGGCAGGGGGGTTGGACTCGATGATCTCTGGTGGTCCCTTCCAACCCCTACGATTCTGTGATTCTGTGAGATGATGGAGGCTGTGGTCAGAGGGGTAACAGTGACATGACAGTGGGCTCACAGCTCATTCATGATGGAGTTTTCATGGAGATTCTAGAGTTTTAGGATGTGCCTGTTAAATTAGAGAGATGGGCATGGTGGGGAGTCCAAACATTTTTGTGGTATGTGTGTTCCTACAAATGTCCTCAGTTCTGAGCCTAATTCCAGAGGAATTCAACACATAATCTAATCTGTGTCTTCAATGGAAATCCATTTTTCAGTGTAACTGCAACTAGAAAGAGCAAAGCAGCAGAGACACGAAAGGAGAGTTGCAGGACAGTGGCAGGAGCAGAAAAAGGAGGGGACAGAAGAAGGCAAAGGTACCAGAAGAAAAGAGGTTGATGTTAAAACCAGGCAAGCTGTGAATGCTTTAGGGCATTTTGCTATCTTATGGACAGGAATAGTAGATCACCCAGCAGCCCTGCTGGTGAACAGAGGTCTGACACAGGACGTGCTTTGCAGGTAGCACACATAGCATGCCAAAGGGATGTGCATGAGCAGCAAGCCAACCATGTGAGTACTCTATCATGTGTACTGTGTATCACCTTTTGGGTCTCTTGCAGACAATTCAGAGAGGACTGTACAGTGAGGAATTAGAGAGGAAAAATAAACTACCGACTTTGTGTAGACAGTGGGTGTTATCTCTTGAGATGGGCACACAGAGACTGCAGCTATCCATTATTTGGTGTGTGGGTGGCAACGGTGACATTTCAGGAACTCGGAGTTTAACTGTGATGAAGCTGGAGGCCAAAGATCACAGTTAGACTCATCTGGGTGGGCTAAGGTTCAGCCTCATCTGGTGTGTGTGGCTTCCAAAATACTTAACACCTGACAGAGTTGTGAAACCTGTCCTTGCAGTGCTTTCAGGAAGAAATGAAATACTGCTGCAGAGATGGAAAACAAGAACAGGATATTCTGAATTGTTCACCGGTATTGCAGAGGGCATCTGGAATGGCACTGGAGTCATTCAGAAGATAGAATCCAAATTTTGTGAGGGATTTTAAGATTTTAAAAGTGGCATTTTGAAAGGGCAAGCATAGTGGAACATTTTAGATTTTGATGTAAGAAGAATGGGAAAAAAAACTCCCCAGGGCATTTCTAATGTATGTTTCAACGTAGCCAAAATGTCAAGTATTTTGTAATATTTTCTTCTATAAAATTCATAATTGAAAAACTGAATTTTAACAAGAACTCAGTCTTTTTCCTCTAAAAAGTACTGAAACATGACTATTCACTCCTTATTTATCTAAAGCAAAATTCCTGCAAAATCAATGGTTTTATGGAGCATTCTGGTTCACAAGGGAGTGCTCATAATGACAAAACTGTTCCAGCTGAAGTTTCTCCATACAACTCTATTCAGCATCAGATCAATATTTGAGGCTCTGGTGGCACAGTTCATTTCCCATGGCTAGACTAAGCCACTTTCTATACGAATGTCTTCCCTTAGGCGTATCCTTACTGACTTCACCAACTCTTGGCAGCTAGGAAAGCGATATGTCTCTCACTCTTCTAACTTCTCTGTATTTTTTTTCCTTTCTCCTTCTCCCCTTCCCGCTCTCCTCCAGGAACCTTCTGCATCATTTCACTGTGCACGTGTGTGGCTGGAATCAACTTCGAGCTCTCCCGCTTCCCCCGCTACCTGTATGGACTTCCCGACGACATCAGCCATGGCTATGGCTGGTCCATGTTCTGTGCATGGGGGGGCCTGGGCCTCACTCTTATCTCTGGCTTCTTCTGCACTCTGGCCCCTTCTGTCCAACCTGTCCCCAGGACCAACTGCCCCAAATCTAGACCTGAGAATGGGACAGTGTGCTAAAAAAATAGCCAACAACAGATACACACACACACGTATATATATATATATGTCTATGTATACGTATACATGCATATATATGTATATATAATTAAATATATATATATAATCTCAAATTAATGCCAGTGCCAAGGTAGAGCTGAGTCCAACACGGCACTCACATCTCCACTGGACTCTGTGTTGCTTCGTTCTTTCTCACCAAGATGGGAAAGCTTTTCTCTCACATGGCTCTTCCATCCAACTCTTAACTTCAGCATCATACCTTAGAGGTTGAATGAACATGCTGTTGCACCTACCAGCTGCCACCTGGCAAGGGAGAGAGGGTTCCGGGTGGGGGACCTGCAATCTGTGCAGGACATGGAGGGCTGGGGAGCAGGGGCAAAAAGCCTGTCCATTGCAGTTAGAAAGGAAAATGCAAACAACAAGCAAATAAACAAATCAAGCAATTGAGCCACCTCTACAATGTACCTCCTCGAGGCCGTTATCAGAAACCCACGCACTTTCTTTTCTTTCTGGAAACAAAATGAAAAAAGCCTACCCTATTGCTGTTTCTCTTAGTATTATCTTTTAAATATACATATATATATTGTTTGAAGTTTTCTTTTCTTTTCTCTTCTTTTCTTTCTCTTCTTTTCTTTCTTTTCTTTTCTTTTCTTTTCTTTTCTTTTCTTTTCTTTTCTTTTCTTTTCTTTTCTTTTCTTTTCTTTTCTTTTCTTTTCTTTTCTTTTCTTTTCTTTTCTTTTCCTTTTCCTTTTCCTTTTCCTTTTCCTTTTCCTTTTCCTTTTCCTTTTCCTTTTCCTTTCTTTTCTTCTCCTCCTTCTACTTTTCTTTCTCCTTTCTTCTTAAAATGCAGAAAACAAAAAGGACAGAAGATGTGGGGAAAAGCAAAAAAGCATTTTCTCTTTCCTGCCAAACTTTAGAAAGAAGCAAACAGACAAAAACAATTTAAAATAAGGATCTTATGAAGTAAAAGCAGAAAACAAACAACAACAGCAACAACGAAAAAAAACAACATGAGGATGTCTCAACAGACTCTCCAACAGTACGGTTTTAATCTTCCAGCTGCCTTACATCCAGGCTTACAACTGAGGCTGAACTGCTAATGCAATTGCAGTAGAAGGCCTTCTGAAAATGCTGTGATACTTGTGTGTATAACATTTTCTTCCCTCTTCTTCTTCTTCTTTTTTTTTTTTTTTAAGAAAAAGAAAAATGTAAAAAATTGCAATGTGATTGTCCACTACACCATCCATGCTGTGTTTGTGGCCCAAGACTGAGGCAACTGCAGAAGCGTGAAGAAAGCCGTCAGGTCTGAGACAGTGTGTCTCTTCTGGTGGATTTCTGGATGGTTTTGGTTTTCGTGGAGCATCCGAGAGCTCAGAATGGTGGATCCAAGGGAATACTGACCAGGAGAAGGGAGGTGGGGGAGTCCTGGCAGTTGTTCCTCTTGAGTATTTACTGGATTGGAATTACACTCAGTTTTTGGATGTCTGAGAAAACTGGGCAAAAGCCATTACTGAAGAGAAAAAGGGAGAAAATTTTTGTAAGAGAGAAGTAAGAGAAGCCTCTTGTTGTGTTCATGTATGCCAAATAAGAACTTCACACATCTTGTCTTTGGAACCTGCCCCAGTTCACTGGACATCTCCACTCTCCATCTGAGAGAACTGTGGAAAAGAAAGGGTCAGATGCAGAGAATGGAGATCCATTTCCCATGAGCTCAAGCGTTGTATGATATAATTGTGAATTTCAAATGGGATTCTCTCTCTCTTTTGGTCTTTCTCTTTTTCCTGCCACTCCTCTTCCTGTTACCCCCTTTTCCCTTTACTCCTCTCTCCGCACCGTTCAGGTCATAGATCCCAGAAGAGCTAACAGAACAGCCAAGCTTGCAGATGGGGATGTATACCTTTGAAGGAAGCAGAGCATTTTGGCTGTGAAGACAGCAGCTGCTTGCAGGGGAACAGTGGCTGAGGGGAAGGTGAGGTGAAAGGCCAAGGCCGTAACTAAAAGGAGCAGAAAGAGGCAACTGCCAAATGGCCCTGTTCAGAAAGTGATGGCACCTCCGATAAATGAGCAGGCAAAGGGATACAGAACAGAGAAAAAAAGTCCCCCACAAAACAAGCCAATCCAACATGCTCTTAATTCAGGGGTAGTTACATCAGTCTTTTATTGCACCCGATATCTGCATGCCATCAGCTCCCATTCGATGATAAAAATCATCTAACTACGCCTGACCTGGGGCTCACAGCTCAAGAAAATTTGGAGCTGTTGGAGCAAGTCCAGAGGAAGGCCACAAAGATGATCAGTGGAATGGAGCACCTCTCCTATGAAGACAGACTGAGGGATTTGGACTTGTTTCACTTGGAGAAGAGAAGGCTCCGGAAAGGCCTCATTGTGGCCTTCCAGTACTTGAAGGGAGCTTTTAAATAGAAGGAGGACTGACTTTTTACACAGTCTGATAGTGATAGGACAGGGGGGAATGGCTTTATACTAAAAGAGGGGAGATTTAGGGTGAATGTTAGGGGAAAATTCTTTACTCAGAGGGTGGTGAGGTGCTGAAACAAGCTGACCAGAGAGGTTGTGGATGAAGCATTCAAAGGTACTTTGTATGGGAGCTCTGGGTGACAACCCTACCCATGGCAGAGGGTTGGAACTGAATGGGATTTAAGATCCCTACCAACCTAAGCCAATCTGTGATTCTGTGATCTCCTGAATCTATGAAATCTCAAAAGGATAAGGAGGTAATCTGCCGAAATGATGCCTGCACAGAAATAAAGACATTAACTCCAGATTATGCTATTTACGCAGCTGTCAGGAAGCAGCATTTTGACTTGTTAAAAAAAAAAATCCAACCAAGAAATAATTTTTATGCAATGCAATTGCATAGCCAGCCATTCCCCTTCCAGATCTGCTTTCCCTCCCTGTTACACCTTGTGTGATGATGTTCCTTTTTGTTAACAGTGTCCAAAGAAATAAAGTTTCTGAAGGCTATTTTGGAGTAGGGTAAATTTGGTTTTCTTTCACTCCTGCTCAGCTACTTAGCATTTATGTTCTTTGGTTTACAAATTCCCAGAACATGCCAATGTCAGCTGCCAAGTCAATGTGTTGCCACTGAAATGCCATCCCCGGCAAGTTAAGTTTTGTCATTTCATTCTCCATTAGATCTGACTGGAGAAAGTAAGTATTTATTGATTCATGTTGAAAATGGAAACCTTTTGAAGAAACTTGCTTTTTAAGTAGATTGGATTTTTTTTTTCTCTGGCAATGTTTTTAAGCAGTGTTCTGAAAAGCTTTGAAACTGTTTGAACGTGCAGATGCTCACTAGATGAGGAGGCTGATGAGTTACCACTGGACAGAAGGAAATTAAAAATAAAAACAGTTCTTGGAAAGCTAAATTGAAACCAAAAGCATAAAAACAATAACTGAAAACTAAAAGAGACCTTTAAAAATGTGAAAAATTTCAAACTATGAAAGATTTTGAGAGAAAGCAACTTCTCATAAAGGTGTTAATGCTTTACGAAACTGGTACTTGTTTCATTAAAACATCTTTGAACACAAACTTTCTTCTTCCTCTGCAGTTCTGAGTGTGATAGGGAAACTCCTTCATGTGAATAGAGGTATCTGGAGTGACCTCACTAGACCGAAAGACAGAGGGGTTTCTAACTGGCATCTGCCATTGGGTCCTGTGACGTGGGAAGCAGTATGACAGCTCCTGTGGTGGTATACAGCCTCATGTGAGCCATGACAATTCAAGAAGTGTATTCTTTTCAGCTGGAGTTTTGAAGGAGCTATAGCAGTAAGATTGAAAGAAATTGAAGTCATTTTGCCGTTTCATGCACTCTCAACTCTTCCCTCTGCAGCTGACATGAAAATAGATCTGCCTTGATGAAGTACTCTCTGAAAGTGTTGGTTGGTTTACAAGCTGTGTACGAGCTGAGTGCTGGCCTGTGTTTGGTGATTGTGGGAGAGGGTTACGCTCATTTTTCTTTATAGCAGAGAAGTGTTAACCCTGGATCTTATCTTTAGGCCCGATTTGTGATATTCCATTCATTATAGCACAGCCTCTCAGGCCTGTACAAGTATGAAGTGTATTAAAAGTATGGATGTAAGTGCCTGAAGCAGCAGGTGAATACAGAACTTTAATGTTAGACTGGATTCCAAAAAGGACCACCTGTCCAGGCAGAAGTTTTGGTGCTCATCTTTGACTGAAACACGGGCAAAAGCCCTTGGGATTTTTTTAATTTCTCTCTGTGCTGCTCACAGACTCAGGAGGAGCCCCAAAGGGCCATGAGCAGTACGAGGTGGGCCAAGAGCCTTACCTGTTGTCTTGCACTCATCTCTAGAGCAGTGCTGACCCAAGATAATCTAGAGACAGATCTGTGATGGCTAGCGACTATGTACATGCAGAGCCAAAGCACACTTCCATCTGCTCCAAGCTTCTGCATTTTTGGGAGGCTTTGAAATATCTTTCTGACCTGACATTCAAGCTTTCCAACTAGTGTCTGGTTTAGTAGTCTGAGCAGTAGTCAGAAACCTGTCAGATGTGCTCCCCACGTTAAGGGTCTTGGCCCTGTCTCTCAGTCTGCTCCAGGGAAATGTTCAAGCACATACTTTACTTCAAACATGTGACTGATTTCATTGCCTTTGGTAGACTATTCACATGCTTAAAGTTAAGAATGTGCTTTTCTGGGTGATGTTCAGCTTCCTTCAGAGTCCAGCCTCTGTTCTTCTTTTCCTATCCTGTCCTTGTAGATAATGTGACACCTTTGTCCTAGCCTGATGCAGGTGCTTGTGCTCCCTCCCTTTTACAGGAGGCTGTTCCCAGGGAAGTGGGGTGAATTGCCCCAGCGCTCTGTGGTGTGTCGGCTGAGGTTTTTTTAACAGTGAGCCTCCAGTTCTTGTACAGTGAGGTTCTGTGATGGTAGTGAGTTAGTTGCAATGGCTTCTACTTCTATCCCTGCCAGGGCACAGTGTGGTAGCCCTGCATAGGGGATATATTGCAGGAATCTATGTGCTATTTATCTTACGGACTCTTAGGACACCATCTTCAAGCTA